CTGACACAACACCAGGTTACGCTCTCTTTACTATCATACCTGTGTCTTGTTCGATCTACACTATATCACAGCCTAACTCAATTACGAAATGTTCAGGTGTATTGGTGTCCTTGGGATGCTCCGGAGCTCCAGTACTATCTCAGTCCTGTCACTAGGGACGAGTCAGAGGAGTATCGCTGCAACGTCCCTCTTATTTTCTTCCACGTGGTCAAGATTCACTTGCCCGTCAGGGTCTACAGACAATTTGGAAGAATGACAGGCTGTCCACCACCGCTTTACTCCACCAACCAAGGATTGCATGGGTGCGTTATCGATTAATAACAAAGCTACAATTCAGAGGTGTGTGTGATACAACTAACATCGTTTTGTTGCTGGTATGACCGCAGGAAGAGGTACAAGACAAAGGATTGGCGCGTGACACACAACGCGCACATCCACTTGTGGGAGACTAGGGAACGACAGCCGGTCCATGCGGGTCCTCCACACGACCCATACACCTTCGATGAGTACCTGCGCTGGCTTCACAGGTCTACGAGGACACATATCAAGCCCTCGTACACTGAGGAGGCGATTGATGAGGACTCGGAGGAAGATGTGATCAAAGATGTGTACGACGTTGCCACTAGAGAGGACACACAACTACAGAGAGCCCCGCTACAAAGATACGTGGTAAGATACTTGAATGGTACAATTTATTATCCATTTGGTATTAAGTATGTATACTAAAACTGTTCAACCGCGTTTTTGTACTCAAGCGACACAATTGTCGAGGCTGTCCAACGAAGCAGCGTTCTGGCTTCACGAGTCTAGAGGGCAGGAGCCGGGCGTTCTCGAGGCTTTTGTGGAGATAAACATAAACTAGTCTGTTCCGAAAATGTTTCTTTAGTGTATATGCGTTTCGGAAATGTATTAACTTTAACGTCTATTTAAGTAGAAGGTGAAGAAGAGTTGTAGGAAGCTAGCTCAAAAGTTGAGCTACATGGACACACCTTATGAGGAACCGCCACTCCCGATGCGGTCGGGTGGCACGTCTTCAGCCTCTTTGAGGACACCAGCCGGCTCTTCTCAGCCGGTGACAGGTGCCATTTCCACGGTGCGTACACCACCACATCATAGCACTGGGAAGGACCCTGCAACCGAGGACGACGAGGACGACGATGACGACGACGACGACCCCCCCGGGCTTCCGCAGATAGCACGACCAGTAGGACGATTGGTCGCAGGACAAGATCGGCATGTCTCAGCTAGGTGGTGCCCGCTTGGTACCTAAGGAGCCTCACAGGTACTAACAAATGTAGTTTCTTTAAATACGTAGGCTACATGAACTAACGATCATAAAGAATTCTAAGTAATCGTGCATATGATATACTTGCAGGGTACGAGCCGTACGCACCGGCGACGCGACCACACCAACATTGGTTACACTCCCAATGTGTTGCCAACAAATCCGAAGAGACAGAGGCGTCCGAGGGATCCTTACACTACTGGGTCTTAGTTTGTTAGGTCGAACTATTATTAGCGTCCGAAACTTGCAGGCTTAGTTGGTTATGTTATGTCGAACTTATGTCAAACCAATGAAAATGTTATGTGGCAGCTTGTCAACTTGCGCACGGACTTCATTTATTTGCTTCATATTCGTTTCAATGCGTCGCGGCATCACTACATGCGAGATTAAGTAGCAACTAGTTCGGAAACCGGCAGTCCCGAGGTATCTCGACGCTAGTGGCCGGCGTCTTGCGCGAGGGGTCGAGGAAGCCGGGGTCCATGGTCGCGTCGCCGCCGATCCTACAATATGAGGTTAAAAGCCAAATAAATAAGCTCCCTTAAAAAATATTCGTTTCAATCCGATCCAATTTTTCGTAATCGATTAGTTAACATGGTGGTTAACCGTATTATGAAAGATGGAAAAAATCATTGGCTTATCAAATTCTCTATTCGGACGTGAAATAAATTCAACAAAAGACAAAAACAAATCCACTGTTGATTTTCGTCAAGCAATACTTAGAATAACTACCACTATCGGCGCGACACGTTCCGATTAAACCGTCCAGGTACCGCCGGGCGGGTGGCGGGCGCGGCGGCTAGGCGGGCTTGCTGCTCGGGCAGGTGGGACTGGCCGCGGGGTTTTATTCGGCTCTGCCGCGCCAAGGTCGGTGGCGCGGCAGGCCCCGCCACATCAACGGTCAGCGAATCCTGTCGCCGCCATGTCAGCCCTCTGCCGCGCCACCATACATGGCGCGATACAAGCATTTGGCCACGCCAGAGCAATAGGCGCGGCCAAAAGTGTTAGTTAAAAAAAATAGGCAGTGTTAGCTTTAAAATTAGTTTTCAAAAATTGTTAAAATTAAAAAAAATCCTGCATTGACAACACTGGATTTGCCTGCCGTTCGAATGCAGTCTTTGGTCTTGTTTCTGCTCTACGTCACTACATGTTTGCTCTAAGGGCTGGTTTGGTTCCTTTCCCCTCTAAAATTTCTGTCACATCGAATATTTAGACACATGCATGGAGTATTAAATATAGACTAATTACGAAATTAATTGCACAACTTGCGACTAATTTACGAGACGAATCTTTTAAGCCTAATTAGTTTATGATTTGACAACGTGGTGCTACAGTAACATGTGCTAATGATAGATTAATTAGGCTTAAAAAATTCGTCTCAGAAATTAGCCTCCATCTATGTAATTGATTTTGTAATTAATTTATATTTAATGCTTCTTATTAGCCTCTAAATATTTAATGTGACATAAATTTTAAGAGCGACTTAAGAACCAAACACCCCTTAGTATGTCATCTTTGGATTTGTGGTAGGCTCCACCAGACACAAAGAAAACATACAACCTACAATACTAATCGAAGCAGCAGAGCAAATCACATGACCTTTTTACCTAGGCCTCGGCACCCACCCTAGCCACGTCGGCTGCCGCATTAGCCACCTTGACGCCGAGATGTGACCCTGGACGCCAAAGGTCATGGCGTCTAGGTTGAGATCCATTCCTACAAATCTGTCCTTGAGGAGCTTAATAAATATAAAAAACATAAACAAGTCGATGTCTGGATTTGTGCCCTTTTGTTTTCTTTCCAAATTTAGTCCAGAGGACGCGGAATCGGACCGGCGCTAGTCAGGCCAGGCTCTCAGGTGAAAACCGGGCGTCCGGGTGGGTCCCACCTGACCCGATGCGGAAACGAGAAAGGTCAAAGGTCTACCCTACTACTAATCGGTCGGTCCTGGTGGCGGTGGTTCGTCCGAAGTCGAATCCAACGGCGCGCCGCAGCTCCTCCGCCCCTCCTCTCCCGCCGCCTATATTCCTCCTTCCGATTCCGTTCGTTCGTTCGTTAAGCCCTTTCACAAGCGCGGGCGGCCCTCCGACCGGCCGGAACCCCGGCGGCCTCCTGGAGATTATTACGGGATTGGGATCGGTCTGAGCTGCGGAGGCCGGCGCAGGCGCGCCCCCTTCTCGTTTCTTGGTGTGGCAGGCAAGGTGGTGGTGACCGGCCGGTGAATATGGTATGTATTGCATGCATCATACCGTCCTCTTGCGATTTCCCGTTCTTCTACTTCCCGGCTGGCAATGCAATGCGCCCACAGAAGTGTAGTTTCAATGCAATGTAATCTGGACTGCTCCCGTCGCGCAACGAGATTAATTAATAGTTAGTTTTTTTAGAAAAAGATTAATTAATAGTTAAGGGTGATACTGTTTCCTTCGGTTTTGGTGTTCCTGTCCTCACTCAGGATGCGATTCGCGTTCGGGCGATTCGGATATTAATCAAATGCTATCAATTCCTCCCGTCGATGCCATTGCTGGCTAATGTATGAACCTTCTGCGCTGCTCTGCTGTTTGTAGGCGTCCTAATACTCTTTGAGGAATCAACTGATGTGACACCCACCTAGTCACCTAGATAGATAATCTTTTCAGCAAAGATGGGGGTTTCGCTAGAACAATTTGATTATTTGTGTTAGTTGCTGGCGTAATTGATAATTTGATGATGACAGCAAACGTTTTTGTGTTTGTGCAGAACATTGTGTGTGAAGTCTGTGGAGATATTGGTTACAGACAACTTCTGCTATGTTGCAGAGACTGCAAGCGTTATGCTGTGCACCAGTATGTCTCCTTTTATACTAATTATGCTTTATTTTATTACATTCCATTTTATGTTGTGCTTATTAATGGGTGTAAACAACAGCATTTTCCCCCTTATATGACAAACCATGGCATCATCTTAGAGGTTAGGTCTACTTTTTACCCCGGAATTTTACATCATAATTTTTTTCCCAATCAATTTCAAAGTTGAGTAGACAGACTATATGAATATATCCCTATCTTCACATTCTATTGAATTAGAAATGGATATTTGCAAATCATGTAATACCTAAATGGAAAACTCAAGTGCCTTCTGTAGTATGTACTGTAATTATGTTGTTAAAGCTTATTAATTTATGGTCGGCCTTTTCTTATTATGATTCGTCATTGTGTAGATACTGTTTGGACAAAGTTGTCTTCAATGCATCGTTAATAGAATGGTTCTGTTATGAATGCCTACAAAAGCGTGGTGAAGTTACTTGTGTCAGATCTCTAGAGCAGGTGTCAAGTGAAAGGCCACTGAATCATGCACAGTTTGGTTCTCCAGTACATCAGCTAACTACCAAGAGGGTGGAGTCAGTAAGGGATGCAGGGCTATATTCATCCAATGGTGGTTGTGAGGAACTATTTTCCTGCCCTGGCATAGAAACCATCCCAAGTGTGCGAGAAAGGAGTGTTGATCCCATTAATATTTCCAGCATTTCTCAACATGATAGCACAGAAGCATCTGCAAGCAGTGAAAGATCCACGGAGTGTCAAAAGGCTAGCTCCTGTCGACGTGGGAAAACTGTGAAGATGACTATGGAGTCCTCATCATCATCTGAGGAGTCAGGTTATAGCATTATTCTAGTTGCTTGCATATTTACCTCGAATCGTACATCACTTGTTACTAAACTCTGTTGCGAAATTTTGTACAGGAGAAGACATTCTCTCTGAAAACGTATCCTTGGAATATGTTTTGGCATATAGATGTTATCTATCTAAAGCACAAAAGAAGAGAGTAATGGAGCTTATTCAGGAAATTCAACCTGAATTCACAATTTTTATATCAATAATGCGGAAGGGCAATGTGCAACCCCCGGGTCCTTTTCTGGTAACTCCACTACTATTGAATAGGAAACTCATTTATATCAACATGAACTGTTTGTAGATAATAGTAACAATGTATGGGAGATTTACCTATGAGATTCCGGTTGTCATAAATCTTCTGAGCATCATGTTCCATTTGCTATCAGGGAATTACCAGGGATTATGCAAGTGCACATTTCCCAGATGAAAGCACAAATGTCACTCTTGAGGTGCCTGGCAAGAGCAAGAAGTGGCATCCCAAATTCTACAAAAGAGCTGAAAGTAGAAACTACATGCTTATAGGACAGTGGCTAGACTTTGTCCGTGAGAATCATGTGCAGGAGGGAGATATCTGCCTCCTTGTACCCGACAAAAGATGAGATAAGGTGCACATTTATGGTCTATGTTCTTCATGAAACAACTTATTCTAGAGGTGGGGCTGGCTTTCAAATGGCTGGCCCATGCCCTGGTGCATCTAGTGCAAAGATGGCTTCAGAAATCCATATCGAGGAGGAACCTACCGCTGGTATTAGTGCAAAACATAAAAAAAACTATTAGCTCTCTAGATTATTCCATTTCTTATATGGTCTACAACTGTTTGCAGGAGAACATGTTTCCTCGGAAAGTGATATGCAAGAAATTCCTCATGAACCTGTAGAGGCGGAGACTCTGATGATCCATTTGTTCCTCCATACATTGTACCATGCAAGAGTCCTCTATCTAAATCCCAGAAGAGAATCGTTGAGGAGCGAAAGCGAGCTATCCGATCTGAAATTCCTATTTGTGTGGCAGTAATGAAGAACAACAACGCCGGTGTTGCTCAACGTTGGATGCTAGTAAGCCCAATTTTTTTTTGTTTGGTCTTAAAGTTGTTTTTTTTTTATCCTTAAGCTTGCTGTTCCTGTCATCTTAACCTTATTTTGTTTTGTAGCGTGTTGCTAACTACTGATCCATAATGCTTCAGGAATTAGGTTCACGATATGGTTCGGTATATCTCCCGACTAAAGGGCAAACCATATGGCTCCAGTGTGGGGGAAGACATGGAAGGCAAAATGATGTTTCATAATGGGAGAAGGTGGTTTCTTAACGGAGGTTGGCCCAATTTTGCTCGTGGAAATGGCCTGCTGGCGTCGGGCGACGTCTGCCTATTCGAACTGAAGAAGGAGAGTAAGCTTACCATGGCAGTCCATATCATTCGTGAGGGAGAAGTTTTAGGTTGCCGATATGAAAGTGTGCCCCCCCTGTTCTTTCGGCTGGCGCCAGGGCCTTATTGTGCTTATTTTTTACTATATGAAGTTAATCCATGGTTGTGGCTGATATCTCTGTAAGGATTAGAGGCCAATCTGTAACATTTTTTTTTTTGAAAAAAACACCAGTCTGTAACATCTATTGGTACCTATCTGTTGACATTAGCATGTGGTATATAGATAAGGAATGGCGTGGTTATTATCATACGCATTGCTTTTACTAATGTACATTTAGCAGACAGTTTTGTTTGATTTTCATTGCATGCCAATACACTGATAAATCAGTGTCTCTTGCCTTGTTGTAATCGTTTGGGGAGCACCCAACCAAAACTGTAGTTACGATCACGCCGAGGGTAGCTCTGATCAAAATCCGACAACAGCAGGCTCTTTCAAGTGCAGTACAATTGTTCCCGACGATTGAACATGCAGCTAGCTAGAATTTCAGAGCTACCCTTGGCTCTTACAAAAAGTGAAGATGGTTGTGTTTGAAAGCAACTCATTTTTAGGCAAACAAATATGATCAAGTTCTGAAAGCGGTTTCCACAATTAATCCTCGTTTTCTTTTCTTGAATCTGCTCTTTCAATTTGGCAGTTACGATAAAATATAGTACTCCTATATATGTCCTACAGTCATGTCCTACATACCTAGTTCTGAGGGGTTGAGACATTGGTTTCCATTTACTAACAGAATACCCTTATGTTGTAATAATGGGATAAAAATCTTGTTTAGTACACACAGTAAAGATAATACAACGTACATATGTTGTTTAGTGAAGTGTGTGCTGTCTCTTCATTGCGCTGCCGAGAGCGCTCCTCTTGGTGACACCCAACCACCTTACGTGCCGCACGATCAAGGGGTTGAGAGGCACACGTACGTACACAGCACCCATTTCGATTCGATCTGCGTCTCATCAAATCCATAATCAATTTACAGTCATCCCTCCCATCCATACGCGCGCGCGTGCCCTACGCACCCATTTATGCAGTCCCTCAGCGATTGCCACCCAGTCCTGTTGCCACCTGCGTACCACGCATCTATTCTATCGAGCAAATTAAATGACAATACATCGACCAACTACTCCTACTACTAATAATAATCTGATGATGCATTTTTTTTAATCAGCGGAACCATAGATACTAGGTAGCATCCCGGCTCTATATAAATGGATCCAAGCTAGGCTTCACCTAGCAGTCAGCAAGCTTTTCGCTCCACTCACCATCAGTCCATCACATTACTCACATACGCCGGCCAGCCGCATCCATCATCCATGGATAAGACTAAGAGCTTGGTTATCATGGTGCTTGTCCTGGGTCTAGTTCTGGAGCAGCAGAGCCAACTAGTGCATGCTAACAGCTGCTGCCCATCCAGGACTGCAAGAAGAATGTACAATGCATGCCGCGTTCATCAGGGCGCTTCCAGGGAAACGTGTGCAAGGTTCGCACGCTGCAAAATTGTTCAGGGGAAATGTAAAGACCCTCATTACATTGTTGACCAGTCCCCCTACTCGGACTCTGGTAAATTACCAAAATTCGATTCTTTTAATTTCTATATAGCTCTCTGTGTTTCATGCATGCATATATATTTGTCGTAAGTAAATACGGGAAATAATACATACTCCTATATATAATTCCGTTTTCATGCATATGGATCATTGTTGTTGTTTTGTGTTGCAGAGGTAGCGAATGTTGTGCTTGAATTCTGCAAGTCGGGATGCACATCGTCTGTGTGCAACAACATCAAGACTGGTATGGCAAAGCCTTTCATTTCATTCACAGGGCAAAAACACTATATAAATGGAGTACTCAACTGTTGCACCTGACATGCATCCTAACTCGGCAATTAATTGGACGTAGCTGCAGGTTTTTGTCGTTCCCTACTCGTCCTAAAGAAAATGTAAAAGAATATTTATGAAAACATATATTCCATGAAGAATTTAGTGATACTTATTTGGTATGTACATAAATATTTATTGATACTTTTTATAAAAAAATTTGGTCAAGCATAAAATAGTTTGATTTGATATTATGTTAAATTATATATTTTTCCGGACTGAGAGAGAAGTACAATTGATATCTTTATTTCTTTTATTATCAGCTGTCCTCCAAGAAGATGCTAATGATGATGCAGTGGACCGCTGCGGCGAAGCATGCCACCGCTTCTGCACCAACACCAAGCACGTTGACACTGCCACCAATGTTTCTTAAGCAGCTTAGTTAGAAAGTGGTGTACCTAGTACCGTGTAACAGTTGTGAGTTTTTCTCAAAAAAGTGTGTTCGTTCATCTCTAGAATTATGTAGTATATATATCTGGACAATAAAACGGCGTTGTTCGCTGTCAATATCTATTTTTCTTTAAGTCACCGTCGAGTAATATTTCTTGTGTTCACTACTACTCGATCAACTTAGTGTTGCTGCACAGCTGGTATTTGAGTAAAAAAAATGTGTTAAAGTTCATTGATAAACTCGGTCCCAAAACATATGACCTTAACTCTCAAGGTGGCCTTGCGAACTGATCATAGATAAGATGGCTAGGTTTCTTGTGGTGGAACCTGTCCACCCGGATTTAAGTCCTCGACTTAGCATGTGTGCTTACATTTTTCTGAATCTAATCCAGGATTTAACGACGCTATGCTTTTAGTGGTAGGTGACGTCCCCGTCGACAGCGAGATGCCAGTGGTGACTTCGTGAATCTCGAGATCTGCAATCTTTCGGAGGTGCTCATAGGGGTAGGGTTTGCGTACGTGTAATCATAAGGGTGAGTGTGCATGCGTGTTGTGGGCATCTGTGTTGTACTGTGTAATTTAAAAAAAACTCGTAAGCCAATTACTAACTCTAAGTCAACCTCTTAAATAGTGCTAGTTTTTTAGCAATGACTCATAGTATGGTTATAGACTCACATGACATTCAATTCTCACATGGTCTTGAAATGTATGTATGAGCCTAGCTCTTGATCAAGAGCTAGCCTTTCTCTCTTTTCTATTAAAATATGAATAAAATGCTTAGAGCTAGCTTATGAGTCAGCTATTGTGGGTGTCCTTAGTAACGTGAGCTAGTTACTAGCTCTAATACAACTTCTTCAATAATATTAACTTTAGCACATAGCTCATAACATGAATATTCTCGTATGACAGTCTCCTATAATCTTAAAATATGTGCATGAGACTAGCTTTAATCAAAAGATGGTTTTCTCTTTTCTATTAAAATACAAAATAATAATACGCTTAGAGCTAGCTCATAAGTCACTATTGGAGTAGTCCTCCTAGAATTCCAATTTTGTTCCAAAATACTTGACGTTCTTCCTTTTCAATACACATTTCTCTTTTCCCAATACATCTCTACCTCTTTTTATCTCTTTCCTTTTCTGTGCATCACACTTTTTCACTCCATTTTGATTCGCATGTCGAGACCTACTCCCTCCTTCCTATAAAAGGCGTCATTCTCGCTTCACGAGAAGTCAAATATTTTAGACTTTGATCAAATATATAGAAAAAATATAATATTTATAGAACACTATTATTATTAGATGAATCGCTAAATTTATTTTCATAATAAATTTATTTAGAGATACAAATGTTGCTAATGTTTCATACAAACTAGTGAAACTTAAGAAAATTTGATCAGCACGAATCTCAAAGCGACACTCTATTTCAGTACATCTCTACAGTCTCTACCTTTCTTTATCTCTCTCCATTTTGTTTTCTGCGCGTCACACTTTTTCACTCAACCTTAATTCTTGTGTCCAGACCTACTCCTTCCGTTATATAAAAAGTGTCCTTCTCACTTTCCGATAATTCAAATATTTTAAACTTTGACTAATTATATTAAAAATATTAGTATTTATGCAATATAATTAGTATGATTAGCTGAATAACTGAATATATTTTTTAATAAATTTATTTAGAGATACAAATATTACTAATATTTCATACAAATATAGTTAAATTTAATAAAGTTTGACCAACACGAATCACGTAGTGACACTCTTTTTCGAGTATGCATCTATTGGTTTGGTCCCTATTGCTCTCATGTGACGCACCTACACGCTTGAAACTACTCCATCTGTCCTCGAAAGAATAGATTTCTAGACTAAAAATTTGTCGCATACTCCCTTTGTCCCCGAATATAAGGCGTGA